AATATTATTATTATTATTATTATTAAGGACACCGTCTAGACTCATTTACTATTCTAAGAATGCCAGTTATTAAATCGAAATGTATATTTTCAATTATTGTTATTTTTGAACATAATATGTTATTATATGATGGAATTGTGCTGGGGTTAATTTTGTGATCAATTGCGATTGTTACCGTGAGCAGCTCGTGTTACTCGTATCACTCTAATAATATTATAGCTACTTTATAATTTACTTTCACTGTGATCGGTTTGAATATCGTGTAAATTTATTATTCTTTGAAAAAAAGTGTTTTTTGTATAAAAAAATATGGAAATTAACATAGACACATTAATCAATGAAGTTGAAAAAAGGCCTGCCATATGGGATATGTCAAGCCATGATTACTCAAACCGAACAATGAAGAGAAGAAGTTGGGAAGAGTTGGTGCTTATTTTTTGTGGCACAGAAGATTCGGAAGAGCAGAAAAAAAGTTTAGGTAGGTACTTAATTAATCTATATTTTATTATATTAACGTTGTATTAAAATTTACAAAAATAGAAAATTATTTAAACCATTTTATCTTGCCATTCTAATTTACCTTCATTCATAAAATGATTGGTAAACTGTTTTCGAATCGTATCAGCATCACGTACATTACGACCAGTATAGGTTGGATTAAGATTTGATAATGGTGCTGCATAAAGCGTATCTTCATATTTGAAACCGTCTCTCACTCTGACATAGTTATGTAAGACACATATGGCTTTAACAATATTTTCTGCAAACTCGATCTTAACATCTAGTGGTCTGTGCAATATTCGCCATTTACTACACATAATGCCAAATGTGCATTCTACAAATCGACGGGCCAAAGTTAACCGATAATTAAAAATTTTTTTTTCGTACGATAAACTTTTACCACCATAAGGTCTCATTAAATTTTCTGTCATACCAAATGCTTCGTCAGCTACAATGACATATGGAACTTTTATATCATCAATATCAGTTAGAGGTTTAGGATCAGGAATATCTAATTTTTTTTCAGTCAATTTTTTATACAACGTAGATTCTTTATATAACCCTGAATCGCTGTCTTTACCATAACCTCCGATATCGACCCATATAAAACAATAGTTTGAATCACACAATGCCATCAAAACCAAAGAAAAAAAATGTTTATAATTAAAATAGATTGAACCTGAGTCTGGTGGTTGAGTAATTCGTATATGTTTCCCGTCCAACGCTCCTATACAGTTTGGGAAATATGCACGTTTTTCGAATTCGGTTGAAATATCTATCCATGTCTGTTTATTAGGTTCTTTCATAACAATATTCTTTAATTTCATCCATAGAATTTGGCATACTTGACGTATTATGCCACTCAAAGTAGATATTCCAATTTTGTAATTATAGTGTAATTCGGTAATTGAGCAACCTGTTGACAAGTATCTGAAAAATAAAAATAAAGACTTGATAGGTATCAATGTATAAGAAAACGATTCTGAACGGAGATCAGAGTCAGGCATTATTCGAATAAAAAATTATTATTGATTTTTATTTATTGTTTTAATTTTTATGATAATTCGTTATTCATAATTTATTGAAAGATTTTATTTATTTTATTTTATATCTTTATTCGGTTACTCATTATTTAAAATGACAAATACAGTTAAATCCAATAAACTATCAGATGAATTATTTGAGCAGATAAATAATCAATTATAATAAATAACAAAAAATCTAAATAAATATGTTGTTAAATCATACAAATTATTAATATTATTTTATTATCTCAATAATCGTTATTATTATATTATTATTACAATATACACCTAATGATCCAATATTTGTTATATTTATATCTTATTTTTTGTTTATGTACATTTTAATACAATTTATAAATAATTATCACTGCAAAATAAAAATCTAATATAAAATGTAATATAAAGTTTTATTTTGCATATTTTGACTTTTTAGTGCATGTTTGCGTGCATATTTTAAAATTTAAAATGCATATAAATCCGGTCTTTAATTATTACATATAACTATATATAAGTACCTAATTAATCTTATTTGAAAATTATTTGAATTTGTATGGTTATTTTATTATTTTTTACACTATTAGGTTACATGAGAATTAAAAAAATATATTAACGGCTGTAATTATAATTATTACTACAAATTTTTAATGTTATATTGTTGTTATTATTTGAATTTTTATAATTTATTATTAAATAATTATTAATTATTATTAGATTGTTAAATTTAGTAAAATTTCCATAAAAATTTGTTTGGTAGTTTATCGGTATAATACTATAATATCTACCAAGATTCACCGATTTTTGGTTTCTGCAGGATTAGAATTACAAAAAAGATGGAAAGGTCTTCGGGATGGCTATGTAAAGGAAGTGAAAAAAATGAAACAAATAAAGTCTGGATCGGGAGCGTCTGCGAGGTCGTCATATTTATACTATGGAAGATTACAGTTTCTACAGCCTACCATAAAAAAAAATTCGACCGAGAGTAATTTTGAGACTGCAGAAGTTGGTGATGATGAAGACGTAGAATCAGCAACTGAAAATTTGATTGAAGAAGACAGTCCCAGTGCTTCAAACAAGGAAGGTATTTTCAAAACTCCTCCTAACCACCAACGAAAAAAAATAAAACTTCATCCTGCTGATGAACACTTCGCAAAAATAATTGAAAAAAGTTTAAACCAAAGGAATGTCGCAGAGAAAAAAGAAGAAGACGAAGATAAATTGTTTTGTTTGTCTTTAGTTAAGGAAATTAAAAAAGTACCTGAAACAATGCGTTTAAAAACTAAAATTGAAATTTATAACCTTATTTTAAAAAATCAGTCAGTTTCAACTCAATCTCATCATCTAAATACTACAGATACCTCTCAATCTAACCATTTAGCCACAGCTTACAGTCAACAATATACACCACGATTTGCATATTCACAATACGATCATCCAAATTATACAACTGCAGTTCCGTATGGTACGCCTCATCAAATTTACAACACTCAAATGAACCAAAATAATATAGTACCATCACCTGTCAGTGACATTTCTCAAGAGTCATCAGATATTGATATATTTGGATAAAAATCTAATTTAATAAATATATAAAGTTATTCTATTTATATAGGTACCTGCTTATTTTTAATTTTGTTAAACGCCAAAGGTTGATTTTTTTATTTTGTTTTAAATTTTAATATTAAAATGTTTTTTCTTTCATATGGTTATATTAAAATTTACTTTGTTTTATAATTAAAGTAGTATAAAAATATGTTTCAGTAAATAATAATTTAAGCGACATTTTTGTTTGATTTCCCTTAATTATTATTAGTTATAATAATTTACACAGACTTACCTTAAAGTGACGATAAGTTTTTCGTTTGGTGATATGCAATATCTTATTGCATTTTCATCAGCTTCTATATCATCTTTAATTATGTCTAATAGATCATCAAATGATTTAATAGACATTCTAAAATAATTAAAAAATTTGTCATTGTGTTCTCGAAGTTTTGGATACAAGGTAATATACAGACTAAAAGAAAGTCTTGTTTTTAAAATTGGATGAACCCAATATTTTCTTTCCCTTTTTTGTCTTTGTCTTCTTATCCTTCGGTGGACAACCCATAAACACACAGCATCTACTACGTCCATTCTCGATGGATGTCTGAACTGTACTAAAATATTATTATAACTAGGTACTTTGATATCTATTATTTACTTACACTGCTTTATTCAACGCGTGTAAAACGCAGCTATCTGAACGGTCGTACGCGCGTTTTGCGGCGGGCTAACGCGCGTGTACGCGCGTCCATGTGAACCTAGCCTTAATATTATATATTACATAATATTTAGGTACGTCCGCGTGCGCGCCGGTTTTTCCCTCTGATCCCGCCGAATTTCGATCAGTTTACAGCTGTACAATAACATACCCGTATATAATATACTGTTGTACTACCTTGCCACACAGTTGCGCGTTTCGGTGTACAGTGTGCTATATATTACTATATAGTGCGATAAGAGTTAACACGTTATTGTACAATTGTATATTATATATATATATATGAGTGTGTGTGTGTGTGTGTGTGTGTGTGTGTGTGTGTAGGTATAACACACGCAGCGCTCGCGTTATCGATTCGACGGGAGAGAAACAATAAATACCTGTATAATATTACTTATTAGATCACGTATCACATTTTTATGAGAGTATGTCATAACGTTATGACATATAAACACGCCCAAAATGAAAAATCATTTGTATATTGTATATACGTGCAATAAAAGCTATATTATGTACCTAGTACCTGTATGTAAAATATTGACTATTGTCAATTGCTCGGTAAATTGTACAACATATATATTATTATTAAAGTAGAGGACTTAAAGAGGTTGACACTCCCGCATGTGTTATCTTTGTCTTACGAATGTACAACATGTGGAATTAGTCAGAAATTTGTCTGTTTCATTATTGTGTGTAATGACTAATGAGCTTTAAACTTT